TGGAATATGTCAAGTGGTTGTGTCATTATCTGATATTATTTAATAGCCTCAATTGGAGTCTTATTGATGGCCAAATAGTGATAAGAAATCCTTTTCTTGTTTCTAAGAACATGGTACACATACCCTGAGAAGAGCAATGGGGGCATGCTCTGCTGGTTCACGTTTTCCAATTGTTGAGAGATATCCGTGGTTGATGTTGATGTAAATAAAAAGGAAGGTTTTCTTATGGTGTTTTCCTCTTTTAGTTAGAATACACTTTGGAGAACAGAGGTTACATGTCTGGAAGAGAGACAGATGCAATGCTGCAGATCATTGCCAAGAGGGTGTGATGTACTGTGCTCACATTTCTCCCCTGCATTGACTCCAGGTTTGGCTTAAACAAGTGTCAGGAAGAAACAGGCTGCTGGGCAGGCTACTGCAGAGCAGCAAAGCCTTTCGTGTGAAGGACTCCACAAGTCCAGAGTGAGGCTGTGAATGAAGATGACTGAAACCTGTATGGTTTCTGCATCAAATTCAGTTGCAGATTGATGTAAAATTGAAGTACGGCAGGGGAAAACACAATGCCTGTTGCCCATGCTACTGTTAGAGCACAAACTTTGATCTGTCCTCACAAAATATCTAAACTGCTCTAAAATTGAGTCTAAATGTCACTTTCTCTCTGCTCTTCTCCTTTTCCCCTAATGAAATAGTGCTTGTTGTTTTTTTCCCCTAACCAAGTTTTTCAGGAGATTAGATTCAACACAATATGGAATCATGTTAGCTGTCAAATCTGCTAAATGAGAAGACATCTGTTTTCTGAAAAAATAAATAATATCCTCCAGACAGCCTTCAAGGTTTGCAGAGGGTATTTTCTCATTGCATAGAAGGTAAGCTTCAATTTGAATCAGTACTTAGTGTTCGGTGGAAAGGAACCTGGAGGAATGCAAGTTATTGATAAATGGTTTTAAATGTCTTTGTTTAAACTGTTGTGTTATTTATATCTCTGAGTCCCCTGGGAGCAGTAAATTGTCACGCTTGGTTTCAGTGTTAGTAGTTCTGCTATCAAGTCTAGTGAATTTGGTTGTGTAGGTCCTAAAACATCTTTAAAAGCCTTCACACCATCGTGTGGTGCTGCTTAGAGTCTTTGTCAGAAGATTTTCTGGTTAGAGTTGGCATTATAATTGTAAAAGAGAAGAACTTAATGCTGACTGCATGGGAAGCTGTGATGAAGTGGCAGACTTGCAACTCAAGTTTCTGACAGGCAGAAGATGTCTACGTTGAGGGGGGGGGGGGGGGGGAGGGAAGCAAATGCTGTTTTGTCACAGTGGGTTTGGGACGTGCCAGATCATAGAATCTAAGGCCTTGCATAACCAAGAGGCCAAAATGTGAGGATCACTAATTCTGTAGTGCTTGTGTGCTGCTGGATAAATGCCTCATGAAACCTTCTTTCCCTCTGACTTGATAAGCAAACAAAATATATTTTCCATCCTTAATAGCTGACAATTTACCTTCAGAGAAGAGAGGAAATTAAAATTTAAAGGAACCCCAAATGAGTTGACTCTCTTGCTAGCATCCTGTTTCTTTAGGCTTTGCTCCAGTGCTTGCATTATCTGTGCTGTATAACACTGTTTTCCCTTGGAATTTGGTTACTTCTATATTCTTCTCTCTTCTTAAAAATGTGACCTTCGACTTTTGAGCTTTCATAACTGCTATTAGTTTGTTTAATAATGAAAAAATAATAGAAAGGGCAAAAATTATGGTCTGGTCTGTCTGACTTCAGCTTTTGAACCTGCTATTATTTTCTGCGGAAGTTTTCCATCCCCCCCTTCCCACCTTGGGGATGCCAACTGCTGCCTGGAGGACGGCTGCTGTGAGCGCGTGTTTCCTCATCTGTGCATCAGCTACAGCTTCATGCAGAGGCAGACGGGCTTCCTCTTGTTCCTTATCAGGCCTTGGTGTCCTGCCCTGCTGCTGGCTTTCTGCCCTGCTGTTTGTATTCAGTAGACACATCTCTGGCTCAGCCTTCCACACCTTGCTGTGCAGGCAGCTGCCCCTGTTTGCTTTCCCCCCTGGGCTGTGACTGGGGTGCAGCTTCATTATTCAGAGCCTCAGACATGGGTGATGCACTGTGACAGCCCTGTGATCAATGCTGGCCCTGAACTACCTTGTGTTTTCTTGTACCTTTTGCAGTTCTGGAGTTAAGATACTTTGAAACTCTGAGTAACTGAGTGATGAGAGGTTGCTTTTTTTATTTTTCTTTCCCCTCTTTCCTCTCCAGTCCTTTGCAAGGAGTTTCACTCTGTTTCTGCAGTGCAGTTATCTTAAGTGGAATCTGGACCAGACTCTGTCCCAGGTGCCCCCTGTCAGAGACACCTTCTGTTGTTATGTGGCCTGAAGCAAATAATATAGGAGAAGGCTTGAGGCCAGAAGATTTCTTTCCTCTCAGCATAGCCATATGTACTGTGAAAGCATCTTTCCAGCACCTAATACTTGGATAATTTTCCTCCTTAATGCCTGAAAGCGTTGCTCACCTTGCTGGCTGCCTGAACTCAAACTGCCTGCCTCTCCTTCCAAGACGACAGCCAGGAAATTATTGCAGCACAATTTAAGGACCATAAAATATAGGATGAACAGATGGCAGGTCACTTTACCTTCCCATGAACAGTCTGTGTCACCGTGGCACTGCTTTAGCATATGCTGAGCCACACTTGCAGCCTGAGCAGGAGCTGTCTCTGGAGGAGATGTCTGTCAGAGCACCAGCCCAGCAGCGCAGACCTTACGACTGTGACAAGGAATCTGGGCACTGCTGAGGAGCTTTAGCAACAATGAGCTTTAAATACCTGCTGCTAAAATAATCATGATAATCTGTCCACCAGCTTTTTCCTAATGTGCGTTTTCTAATTCGTTGTGGGAGGTAAAATCGTTTGACCAATGGAATGAAGATGTGACACTGTGGCCGTAATTTAAATTATTAAACAACTGGAAGAGCAGCTATCAAACAGCAGAAATCCTACCCAGAGCAGAATAGCAGCCTTCACAGATTAATTAAAGAAAAAAAAAAAAAAAAAAAAAAGATTGGAATATAGTTCTTCATAGAAGGGAGTTCCTGTTGCAAGGTAGCCTTAGTTCTGCAAAAGATTAAAAAAAAAAACAAAACAAAATGCATTTCCCTGTTGTGGGATTTGCTGTAGTTCTGTTCCCCATCTGATCTTTTTGAGTCTACCCTTGGAATATGGGATCTCATGCTTTCTCTCTCCCTTTATGCCCTGTGCTCTGCTGTATTTCATGCGGACAGGATGCTGAAATAGCTGGTATGGTCATTCCTATCATCCCAGACAAGATGTTCTCAAGCAAGTGAATTTCTCTTCTATTGAAATGTGAAGAGCAAAGCTCTGTCATATACTGGTCCTTGTTGCAGCAGTTGAGCTGATCTCTTTATCCTTTTGGTGTTAATTACAGAAAGCCTGTGAGCAGCACTGCGCCGAAGAAGGCTGTCTGTTACTTGTTAACCACCAACACAACCGAGCGTACCTGATGAATGGGGACACACTGTGTGTGAAAATTGTCACAGTTCCTTTACTGCTAGTGGGGTTGGAACAAAACAGGGGTATGATATCTAGAAATTTCGTGGTAGAATTTCTTAGAATTTCGTGGTAAAAAAAGGCGTTAATTTCAAAGGAATGTGTCTTCTCAAGAAAAAAAGTGCTACATGTAAATGAGCTCCTCAGCTCTAACAGCAGGACAGGCAGGTAAGTAACGTGTACTGAAAGCAGCATAGTAATTCAGAAATAATTCCTCACATAATTTATTTTCATTTAATGAAGGTGATCGTTTTTCCTCCTGTCGCACCCAAAGGGAGTGGGGAGCAAACGTGTAGCAGTTTTTCAGCCTGCAGCCCAGCAAGGGCTGGGGACCTTGTAGCTGCCCAGTAGCAGCCCAGTAGCTGAGGACCTTGGGGCTGCTGGTGGTCCCTGCCTCAGGAGACCTCCTTATGCAGGTTTGGATAGTGCATGAAATACACTCTTGGTTCCCTCATAGCTGAAATGTTTTGTAGTGTCCCCCCGTTCCCATGTGTGTCCATGCCCTACAGTGGCTATATTTGGCACCTTTGCTGGCAATGCCCCTCTCAGACACAGATGCTGATGGAGTTGGGAATTGCAGCTCTCTTCTCAGCTCTGGGAATGGCCCTTTTCAAGGACGTTTTCAAGAGGCTTGCATTGCTGCTTGCTGTTTAAGCTAAGGAATAAACAGCACTTGACTATCTGCAGCTGCTTTTGGCACCTTTCACTGGTGCCAAAATTCCCCTGGTGATCTGCAAGAAAATAACCACTAAAATCACCTTCATTTTCTAAGAAATATTTCATAGTAAAATGTTATCTTTCATATAGGGCAGCTGAACTTTGTCAGTTCCACCGTTTATTCAACAGGGAGCATTCCAGTTTGCACTTTGCATTTCTAAGAATTGAATTTGCTAAATGGAGCACTTCCTCCTGACAGAGCAGAAATCATACGATGGTTTTTTTTTTTTTTTCCTTTTCTTTCCTTTCCTTTCCTTTTTTTTTTTTTTTTCCAGCTGGAAGCCATTTTTCCTCGCATCATGGAGCTTCTGAGCCCTGTTGAATCTGGCTTAGTGTTTCTCAGGGGACAGAGGAAGGATTGCTAATAGCTTTCCGACCCGCTTTAGTCTCTCTATTCATAATGCAAACGCTCAGCAAAACAGGCTTGAGCAAGGTCCTTGTCCTGGATGACTTTTTGCTAAATAAGTTAGCAATGCTCTAGTTAGCAAAATCTTTTATCCCCTGTGGATGTGGTGTGAACTTAGTGGTATGCTACAGCATGGCCCTGACAAAGATAATATGAGGAATGCCAGGAGAGGAGCAGTGCGGCTGTGTCATGTTTGATGAAGCCAGTTCCTGATCTGCATACTTGGATGTGCCAGAGAGATAAAGTCATATCTCGACCTGTAACAGGAAAATTTCCTGAAGCATCTGAATATGATCAATCTTTTTTCTCTCTTGCAGATGGACAGACAGAGCTTGCTGTTCCTCTTTAGAGGGCAAGGAAGACTGTTGTTCTACATGAAACGTATTAATTAGTAAGTATTTTCCTCAGTAATCTTGTCTCCTGAAAATATATAACCCAAGTTCTGTTGTACTTTTAAGATTTCCCCTATGGAAGTTGTACGTTGTAAGGTCATAGAAAAGAGAGTAGGGACTCATAAAAATTCATTGCAAATTTTGCAGACTTTTTTTTTTTTTCCTTTGCTTTTTTCTTATTCTGGTCATGCAGTGAAATGAACCTTTAGATGACAGATACCAGACTCTGACAGGTATCTCATCTTGTACTGAGGCTAGTGACGGCCTGAAAGAAATTGCTCATCTGAGTCAACAGCCGGCTTCTCCAACTGTGTTTGTCTTCGGTGCTAATTTCATTTCTTTGCTCAGTTTTCCTGGAATCTAAGCACACACACAGACCTGATAAATAACTGAAGCCAGCAATAAAGATAAAGGAAAGTTCTATACTCCAGAGGTCAAGTTAGCCTCCAAATCATATTTTCCCCTAATGGGGAACAAATTCAACGCTACCAAAAGTCAAATGAATGTTTAGTCACCTGAGAAAATACCATTATAAGCTGAAATGAGCTCTCATTACTTTTTCCATTTTATTTCTTTAATTTCTCCTTCGCTTCTGCTACAAAACTAAAAATAAGGCCATCAGTCACAGGGTGCTTTAGAGACACCTTCAGGGCAGGAGCAAGGTTCTAAGGTAAATCAGAGCTGGTGGCTCTTAAAATGGATGAAATCACTTGCATTAGGCCTTCAGGATGCATATTTTCATTTACTTGATTTATTCTTATTGTTTAAGTTGTAATGAGAAGTGACACAGATGCTGTGGAGCCAGACTGAGCAGAACTTTATGAGTTGCCAGGGCAGAAAATCCCATTGCAAAGGAATCTGTTACTCAGACTTGTTTATGAGCATGGAGCAGCAGAAAACCAAAGAGATGATTTAAAAACAAAGAGGAAAAAAGGACAGACACGTGGTGAAATAGGCTGTTGGGCACTATGTGCTGGACAGTCTGGTACAAAGGGCTGTGGAACTGGGCAGAGGGCAAATCAGACCTCTTTCTGCTGGTGAGGTGCTGATCTCTTTGTGGAAGTGAGGAGGATCCGTCAGGCTCTCATCCTAACTGTGCAGCCACCTATTTCCAGGTGAGCTGGTCCCTTCCTTCTCCACCTAGCCTGGGAGATGCTAGTGACTTGTATCTTGATTACATCTCTGCCATCTTACATTCTTTTATACATGAATATAAAGGCTGCTTATTGTCTGAAGCAATATTTCTGATAGCCAAACCTGCTTGATTGAATCCCAAACGATAGTGGAATTTCATTTTACATCATTGTGATGTCAGCAGATTACGTTTCCATGTCACTGTACCACAAGCATCCTAAAAAGAAGGTTGTGGGTAAGGCGTGTTACCAGTAGCAAATGTTTGGTAGTTACACCGTCTTCTGGAGAACTGATGTAATCAACAAGGCCAAATACCTTTCTAATAGCATTTCCAAGACTTCTTGGTGCAATTTGTATATTGAAAACTTCATAAGCCACATTTATTCTGCACATCATTGAAGGAGAGTAAGGAATTGCTGTGGAGGTAGATGTTAACACAGACTGGGAAGAGTGGATAATCATTTATACATCTTACTGTATTGCTTACCTCAGGTGATGTCTGCTTCGTTACTTCGGATGCACGAGTCCTGATTGTTTATGGAAACTTCTTTTTAGTTCAGGTGCGGTTGTGGAGTTCATGAAGGGCAGCCATATAGCTCAGGTTCACATACAAAGGATGAAATGTTTTTTTTGTTCTTTAGAGGTCACTTATTTATTTTAGCAATCTCTTTGATTTGATGAAGTAATGAAACTTCATCTGGTTTACGTAGTATCTTCTAAAAGGATGGCTATGTCAGTGATGCCTGTGAGTTTCTGTACTACAGAAATTTAAGTGTATTTTAACAGAGTTAAAATACCCTTAAAATACACAGAGTTAAAATACACTTAGAAATACTGTGATAAGGTATTATCATGGAGCTGGCTTGTCGCTTAAACAAAAGTGTTTTTACCTATGTAAGATGGTGTCTGGGTTTTATAATAAATTACATTGGACAAATTATTGAAGAATGTTTCTTGTGTATTTTGTGGCTTTTAGCTGCTTGTGTTGCCACTGCAGTGGGACATCACTTGGTGCAAATTTCTTGTAAATGTCAAATCCTCAAGAAACTCCTTGCCTCTACTTCCACAGAACCAAAACATTTTCTAAAGAAAATTTTTATTTTTTTGTCAGAATTATTACATTTTCAGTAAATAACACAGGCAACTCATTTAAATGTTAAGATGAGCTGCCAGAGATAGGATATTTTTAGCAGCGGATGTCTCCCTCTCATTGGTTTCCAGCTGACTCCCCGGGTGCTGGGATATCTCTTTCCTCATGGAGCTGCTGGATTTCTGTGTCAGTGATGTGTGTGGGAGATGAAGTCCAGCATCAGAGCCAGGCTAAAGAGGAGATGGAGAGCACGAGGTATGCAGCTAATAGTTGTCATGGGCAGCTCCTAGACGTTTCCCAGTCAGATAAATCAGCTGGTTAGGTTTTTTTGGAGTGAAGTTATCTGAATTGTTCTTCTTATGCATATCCCTTGCTCTTATTCAGAAGTCAGGAGGAATTCTGTTTTTTCCTATTTCCTCCCTCGAAGGAGTCAAAGCCAGTTCTAGGAAAGCATGTCACTTTCTAGCAAAATGTCCAGTTTTAAAGACAAATTATTTTCTGGAGGAGACAAGTTTGGTGATTTGCAATTGTAGTGATGTATGTACTCCAAGGATGAAGTTGGCCAACTGTTTATAAGAGCACACATGACATAACAGATGTAAATGGAGTATGTATTGTTTGGCAGTGGGAAAAGGAGTGCTGCTTTTGACATAAAAACAATGAAGTGGATGAATCTGAGAGCTAATGTGGTATCTGGCACTTCTCTGTATATAAATGAAGGAACAGTACTAAAAAGGCTGCTTTTCAGATTTTAATAAGATGGTGTCTGACAAGACTGCATTTTGGTTTATAGTACAGTGTTTCATTTTTTTTTCTCAGTTCTTCAGAATCTTTTTTAATAATGCATATGTGCTTATATTTTGTGGTTGCAAACTTTTACATCACTAAGTCAACAAAATAAAAAAAAGAAAAAAAAAAAGAATAAAAAGCTAAAAATTAATGTAAATTCCTGCTGGTAGATGAGTTCAGTAGCTCATCTGGTCAGTAAGATATTCCTGAACCAAAAGTTATGGTACTATGTATGACAATTCTGGGTAACTGGGAATGTTTGGTTCCATTTCACCAATGCCATCAATAGCAGATGGCTTTGGAGATAAGCCCATGTCCTGATTTTGACTGAGATAGAATTAATCTGCAACACCTCAATCAGACTGGCCATGTCTTTTCAGTAGTAAAGAAAGTAAAGCTGTTTTTCCTGTCCTTGTGTTTAATATAGCCCTTACCAATCCAATATCCTACTGGATAACAAATCTACAGAAATCCTTCCATCAAAGGAAATCCCTGGTGCTCACTCAGCAGCCCTCCCTGGCATTACGATTTGCCGTACTGTTTGTAGGAGGGCATTATGTTCTGGGCTCTTATTCTGGTCGTGCCTTGCTACTAGATTTCCTGGGAACTGAAGACAAGAGGAAGTTTAAAAGCTGCTGGCTTAATTTTTGTCTCGACATCTGTATATGGAGTGAACAAGTATGCACTGCAGCAGTGCTGTGTCTCTCTCAAGTCCATGTTTAGTTGTTTGCTGAAAAATAAATAACGTTTGCAGTGGTGAGCAAATGGTCTGCTTAAACCTCTTTTTACTTTGGGCTCCTGTGCACTCCCGTGTGTGTCTACATATTTTTTTTGCTAATAGGCAGCAGTATAAACAACCCGGCAAGTAAAAATTGCATCCCTGAAAATTCTTATTGCTGTCCGGAGTGGCAAAGAGTATTTAGAGCTGAAAGCTCAGAGCTGGCCTGTGCTGCTTTTTTAAGTGATTGGAATGGAGTAGAAAATGTCATCACTTCTATGTTTAAGTGAGTGAAAATGTGCAAATCGTGGACTATGCAGCAGTGTTTTAGCTCTCTCGAGGACTAAATGGATCTGTATAAGCTTTGCTGCTACTTGCTGATGAAGCCAAAAGTAAAGGGAAAAAAAGCTCACAGAAGTTATTTGTTGATTTAAACTCACTGTTGCTTAGCCTGAGGTTCTCGTGCAGGTACATTTGCAGTAAACAGCTCAGAGGAAAGGTTGCTCAGAGTGGAACTTCTTGGTGGGAAGAATTATGGATTTATAATATTTAACACCATTAATTATACCTGGTATTTACTTAATGTTTCACATGGTCAATTTGAACTGATTTATGCAACAATTAAGATCTCCTGTACATCTTAAACACCAAGAATAAAAGCAGGATGGTGAAGCTGTATGCCTCACATCACCCATTAAGTCAATGGCAGTGCTAAGGTGAGTCCCATAGTCTCCAGATGCACCCAAGGCCTTGTTCCTCCTCTATTTTACTGCTCATGAACATTTGTTTGGCTGAAATTTAATAAGAATTCAACTTCTCATGAAAAATTATGTATCTGTGTCTGATGAAGAAGAAGATGGGCAAAAAGTGACACAATTATTTTAGGAATAATCAGATATGTTTTAATTGGCTGAGAGGATCAATATGCAATAGTCAGTGAGAAGCAGAACTAAAGATGGGGTACCAAACAGCTGCCAACAGATGTTCTCTCTGGTGACCTTGCAAGCAGTCTGTGCTGTTGGATACATTAAGCATCAGCTGTGAATAATGAAGAAACTTATAAAAATTAATCTGTTTTTTTTTTTTTGAGGGGACAGTTAATGAGCTGAAGAACTAAATTTATTGAACAAGTCGTTGATTTAATAAACAGTTTCACTTGGGAGTATGGTGCCTCTGTTGCAAATCATAGCTAGATGTGTGCAGAAAGGGGCCTGTGTCTTTCAGGTAGGTATATACTGCATGTTTTATGGCAGATTTCTGGCCTTTCT